ACAGAATGGATTGGGCAATCATGATGGTATATGCACCGGTGGATAGGAAAGAACGAAACAGGTTTTTTCAAGATCTTATAGCATATACTCCAGATGTGGATAACTTGCTGATAGCCGGTGACTGGAACAGTACCTTAGATGATCTCACAAGCCCAACAGGCCGCTCTCCCGACATCTTCTCGCTGGTGGAATTCATGACGGACCTAGACCTTTGCGACGCCTTTAGACTGATGCATCCCACCGATCCAGGATTTACCTGGGGCTCCCTAGCCGCTGATGGGGGCATCTCAGGGTGTCTCAGACGGCTAGACTACGCACTTCTCAGTCCTACCTGGTGGGACACGGCTCTGAATATTGAGGTAATTCGCCATCCCATGTCTGATCATTACCCCATCAAGCTCTCATTTCAAATGCTGGATAAGATAGATCGAGGCAGTAGTTTCTTCAGATTAAATGTGCAGAATCTTAAGGACCCAGGCCTCACGGCCTGGGTAGAACACTTTTTCAGTAACTGGCCAAAAACCCAACACCATTTCCAAACGGTAGGAGACTGATGGGACGCAGGAACAACCATCGCCGCCAACTTTCTCAGCATATTCTCACGGATCATGGCAGCAGAACGTAGTAAAGAAGAAGCAACAATCCTGAGGGACCTGCAATGGGTGGAAGAGTGCATGCTCTTGCATCCTATCTCAGCGAAAGTCTGGGCGCCTGAAAGAATAAAGTTGCTGTCTAAGTGGGACGAGGCCCAACAGGATAGAGCTGAGGAATGGGCTGAAAGATTGATAGTGAAAGGCATCTCAATCTACGATCGAATGACCAAGAAAGCCTTCCAGAAACTGTTGCCTAAAAGATCCACGCAATCCATGAAAGTGTTGAACCATCCATTTGTACCGGAAGTACGAGTAGCTTCCTCTGCGAATGCGATGTGTGAGTACGCAGTAATGTACTACAGAGACATCCTAACGTCCCGCAGACCAGGTGAATCTCCGAACACGAATCTCGCGGAAAACACGGGTCACTGGCAGAACACGAAAGTCAGGCTACCCAATAATGGTAAACTAGACATCGACAGGCCAGTGACCATAGAAGAGATAGAGGTCACTGCCAACAACATGGCTAAAGGTAAATCACCAGACAAGGATGACTTGCCTGTGGAGTTTTACTTACAATTCAACAGTCTCCTCTTTCCACACTTGGTTAGCATATTCAACGAAGCTCCCAATGGTGGTGAACTGTCCAGAGGCATGACGCATGGGATCATCACACTCATGTACAAGAAAGGCGACAAGGCGGAAATCCGCAATTGGAGACTCATTTCCCTCCTTAATGTATCATATAAAATCCTAGCTAAACTGGTCGCAAAGAGACTAGGTAGATACCTCCCAAACTTAGTTGATCGAGATCAATCCGCATTTGTGCAGGGCAAATCTATTTTTGATAACATTGTTACCACAATCGAGACTCTAGAAAGGGTGGACGCATGAAATTTGGACATAGCAGTGTTGCTGCTGGATCTAGAAAAGGCTTACGACAGAGTTAACTGGGCTTATGTACTCACCACACTGAAGCACCTGCAGTTTGGTCCCAACTTCTGTCGCTGGGTATCTGTCCTGTACTTCTTCTCGACTGCATCAGTTGCACTGAATGGACACATCTCAGAACCATTTGCACTCACCAGGTCATTGAGGCAGGGTTGCCCTTTGGCCCCCCTCCTCTTCGTGTTGCAACTGGAAGTGTTGGTTACAAATATTCGAAGCCACTCGGACATCCAGGGTCTACCAATTCAACACGTGGACTGCCGTGTCAAAGCGCTCGCGGACGACCTAATGGCAATCTCCGAAAACAGAGTGGAATCCCTACAAGCTGTCAAATCATGCCTGGTCGACTATGCTTCCCTGTCCGAAGCAGCAGTTAACTGGTCTAAGTCAGTGTACTTCCTCCCGCAAGGTTACAGTCTTGCAGTGGAATGGGGAATGAAATGGATCGCAGGTGGTGATTCAGAGAGATACTTAGGGGTGCAGGTCACTCTGGGGCATTGTGCGGACGCTCATAATGACCAGCTACAACAAAGAATAGTACATCGCATCAGCATTTGGGGACCAGCCCAGCACCTGTCACTGTTCGGCCGTGCATTAGTCACCAACGTGGCCCTGTTTGCCCTCTTGTGGTATGTAGGGTCAGTGAGGGCATTAGGCAAACAGTTAGTTAAGATCGTCAGACAGGTGACAGCTAAGTTTTTGTGGAAACCCTTTGTGACGGAGGACTCTGGGTTCATGACCAAAGTCGCCTGGGATTTGATCTGCTATCCCAGGGCGGAAGGAGGATTGGGATTGCTTGACCCTGCAAAACAGAACGCTGCACTATTGGTAAAATGGATCATCAAGGCTATCTCTAGCACCACTGATGACCATTGGATCCTCCTCGCAGAACAAATTCTGGCCCAGGATTGGAATCTACCCAGGCCGAAAGATGTTTGGACATGCATTATGCTGGAATCGTACTTACGCAGGCACACCTCCTCCCCTTTTTGGCACGACATACTGAAAGCATGGAAGCAGGTAGCACCAAGACATTGGACCCCCCCATCCACAAGGGAAGAGGTGCTACTACAACCATTATTCGATAACCCTCACCTGCGTGACCAGAATGGACACTCCTTCTCCGCAGGAAGCACCCCAGACGCGTTTGGAAGACAATGGATAGAGCTTGGGGTCTTAAGAGTCGCCGACCTGTGGAACGAATTGACGGGAAATTGGGAAATTGATGGAGGATATCAAGGGGAAGTTGAGCTGTCTTGGCCAAGTGGAAGCACGTGCGGCCCGCCTCAGGGCCGCCTTACCCCCGGAATGGGAATATCTGCTGAGCCCAGCAGGCACCCCCCCTCGGGGGACCTGGTTTTTGGCACAGATACAGGATTTGGAAACAGATCAATCACAGTGGTACTGGAAGCTGTTGTCAATAGACTCCGATGGCACTAGGGCATTTCAACAATGGGCCAAGGTACCCTACTCAAACGAACTCAGGTGCGTAACAGAAGATGATTCGGATCCACCTACCGGTGCTCCCAGCAGTACCCCAAGTAGACCGCTGGGGATACTTTCTCAGATCAGAGTGAAGGAAGCCTGTGACATGAGGGAGACTGGTCCTGCTTAATCTGGGCAGAAGGAACTCCTGTCAAGTATCTAAGACTGGACCCCAAGATGTGGTCTTGGAGAGGATCGAAGAAGTTTCCGAACGAAGCATGGATCACCGACTACTCATCAGCAGGGGGTTATGAGCTACAACTTACAAGGAGATCACCGGCCATGGTGGCAATCAGCAGATGGAGGCAAGTAAACACAACAAACGATGAGGTCATAATTCGGGACATTACACGCTGCTGGGCACAGCTGCAGAATTTGCCACTGCAGAGAGCAGCGGCGATCCTCTGGCTCCTCTTGATGATGGCCACACCATCGGCAGTTTGGCTAGTTGAAAGGGGAATGAGCATTCCAATGCACTGCACAAGGTGTCGTTGGCCATTCGAGTTGACAGTACACCTGTGGCTTGCATGCCCACTCTCCCAGAGGATTTGGACTTGGTGGATCGAACACTGGGCCCGCATCAGTGGCCCGGTGTTCCCCTGGGACGACCGCTGGATCCTATTCGGCAGTGTCCCAGAAGGTGTTGCACTGGACATAGGCTGGGGCTATGTGGCTCAAGCAATCAGAGCCTGCCTATGTCTAGTTATTTGGGAAGTCAGAAACAAGAATGCTTTCGAAGGAAGATTCCTGGCAGACCAAGCAATCAAAGCGGCAGCGAAGCTCCACATCAGAAGAAGCATCAAGAGTGATTGGAGACGCAAGGTTTCCACTGCAAGGAGGAAAGCCGCTGGCCTGGCTTGGTTTACAAGGACTTGGTCGATCGCAGACAAGCTAGCCAAGATACAGGACGGCAGGATGACCCTGGCTGGATGGTTGGTAAGCTTGGATTAACAACCTGGGCGCTCCGTATTTCTCCACAGTAGGAGGGCAGTAGAGGAAGTGAAGAGGTCAGGAAGGAGTGCCAAGTTGTCTCACAGGAGCTGTAGCTCCACTGCTCCGGGTTAGGAGCAGGTCAGTTTTTGGTCTCTGTTTTTAGTAGGCTGCATTTCATATTTTTGTGGGGGTTGGTCCCCTCGGGGCGTTTTCCCTGTAAGGGAAACTGGGTAATGCTCCCAGCCTTCCGGGTAGACTGTGAGGACCCCGGCCTCAAGGGTTCTGAGTGCCCGTTTTCACAAAAAAATAAAATAAAAAAAATTCAGAGGGCGACCACGGCTATTCTTGGACGTCCACTGCACCACCCCAAAAAAGCAAGACAACAAAAAACCGACGGGGGGAGCGGTACAACACCTGAAACCGCTTCCCAACTCTCACTTGCGCCGTTTTGAAGTGCGGCTCAAGTGTGGTCGGAGAGGTGACTTGAAAAGTTCACCGATTCGCCTGGGCCGCACTTGAGTTGCACTTGACGCTTTTGGCGGGCGCAGGGAGAAGCCCAATCACGATTAGGGGAGGTGAAAGTCAAGTGCAGTGCAGTGTGGAAAGGTGAATTTCTCGAGTATTTCTAAAGTGGAGTGGTGTGGAACCCCTGCCGGCTTCCCCCCAACACAACGCACTCTCATTTTGACTGTATCGGGCCTGAAACATGCCTTGTATACGTTCATTTTCAGGGTGCGTTATGCTCGGGGGAAGACGGTAGTATTTTTGAATTACGTTTCGGCTCGAGGACGCCCGTTATTTTCGAGTCGAGGGTAGTGGAACGAGGCCCAATGATGAGGATTTTTCCATAAGCTCCAAACTTTTCGGCGTTATGTGGAGGCCCGGCCTCCAAGCTTGAATTTGAATTTCGACAAAAAAGAAAGTACAAATGCTTGATCCTCATTTATCCATTGTGTGTCGCACCGTTGAGCTAGCCCAACTCGACGGTGCAGGTGGGACGTAGCTCTCGAATTGGAGGCCGTGGACCTCACAATTCAACACGGATACCCAGCTTCGTGCTTGTGTGTGCGTGCATGTGCTTGAGTGAGTGTGGGTCCGTCGCTGCTGTGCTTGCTACACACACACACACACACACACACACACACACACAGAGAGAGAGAGAGAGAGAGAGAGAGAGAGAGAGAGAGAGAGAGAGAGAGAGAGATGCCTGAGCAGTGTGAGCCTCGAGATTGATGTCGAAAGCCTCCAAGAGTCGAATCTTTTTTTGCCGTCGGTGAACAGCCCCGTGCGAAAGAGGTAAGCCGCGATCGGATCCTTTTTCCTGCTGCTCCTCCTCCTCCCCGTCTTTTGACGTCCTGTCGCAATATCCGACTGCACTTGCTTTACCCATCTCTCTTCCCCATAGCGATGTAATCTCCGGCTTCTTCAGCTCGGGTCGTTGCGGACTTCCCCGCCGCACTGCTTGCGTGCCTTTTTTTTTTTTTTTTTTTGCTTGCGTGCCGTTTCTTTCTGTCTCGCAATAATATCGTTGGTCCAGTCCAGGCGACCAGCTTATGCCGAGTTCGGTTGATTAGTGTTCGTGTGTCACGGATGTGTGTGTGTGTGTGTGTGTGTGTGTG